ACATAACTGGAGCTGTGCATGGTATATAAGGTCGACTGAACTATATTGCTAAGAACGCTGCAGTCTTCAAGTAATTATGAATAATAATATGGTTATGGTTCACATGAAAGAGTAGGGTAAGTCTACATGCAGTAATAAGGCTGCTTCGGCTAAAAAAAACGTCAGTCTTTTCAAGTACATCGTGGACGACACGCAAAAAATTCTATAAACTTTAATATTAGCAAACAGTTCACCGATGTGCGAACAATGACCACAATAAAAAAAAATGTGACATTTGTTTGAGGTGACGTGATCTGTTTCAAACTTCAGCTAGTTAGAAATCTCGAGTGAACCCGAAAAAAATCACATGCGCGCAACAATTTGTCATTGATTGAAGTGGCTCCTGAAGTGAAGAATTAATACTAGGAGTCAGTCTCAGAGGTGCGACAATTTTCTACTAATTGCAGTCCAGAGATTCAAAACGATGTGAACTTTCACTAAGGCGAGTCACCAATGCTCTTGTAATTCATGATGTTGCAGTCCCAGGCCACGGCTGTGCGTAGCTTTTTACAAGCCAAAATTCCGCACGAGTCAAGCGTGCAGCGACATTCATTTGTTCCCGCTACATATCCACGCTACAAGCTCAGCCTCTGACTTGATGCTATAAGTGAGTCTAGTAAGACATCGTTAATAATATAAATTATTTTCAGCCGACAGCATTGGAGTGGGATGAAAATAGGCAAGAAGAGCGGCTAAATATGAACGAAATAAGCAGGAATTTCATTTTTAATATGATTAGAAGATTCCTTCCACTATTATTCTTTGATTAAAATGACTGTGCAATGACCTAATTTTATTAAACTTTCAGATATGTTACTTCAAATGTATTTAACTGATCCGTATGCTTTTAATCCCATGCAATATTTTCATTATTTAACTTTCTCAATCTACAGATTTTGAAGCGGAAAGGCGGTGGTGAGCTTTGGGCGGAACAATAAAACTTTTTGAATAATGTAAATCTGCCAACGGGTCTGCCAAAGGGTCTGCCAAACTCAGTACAATTGTCAAGCCTAATACTTTGGTAATTATTAGTTATACCACACAGCAAGCGAGTTTTTAAAGCAATGATATCAATATTTGGCATTCATACACTAACCGCGAGACAAGGTACAGCGTGTCTTAACCTTCCATTGTAAAGCGAGTCTCTTGCTAACTTTCGAGATACATAATATACAATATAATATTTAACATAATACTATTACATAACATAAAAATATCACATAATAATTTATGTTCATTTAGCGGGTGATTGGGAGACAGTTTGGCAGCTACACCCACACACGTCATCCAATTCAAGACCAGGTGATGGATGACATTACTTCGATGGTATATGCTAAGATTAGTACTATGAGATTACGGAGGGGGACCGCTGAAAAATCCATTAAGCAGAATTGGTTAAAAATCTCCGTTGTATAGAGTTACTAGTGCGTTGTTAAGACACTAAATAAACATAAGTTTACAGTAATGCGTCTTCCTGGAATTACAATTCTTTTTTCATTGAGCGTTTTCAAGAATGTGTGTCCTATATTGATAATAAGATTAAAGCGACGGCCGTTAACATATATTCACCCAACAATGTCATATTTAATTATTAATCATACAATAACAGCGTCGGTCGTCTTATTTAACATACGTTCACTGTACGGCGTGTATCATTAGTCTTAGACTTTTAATATCGCATGCATCATTAAAGTATTACATTTATAATATAAATAATTTCTAGGACGAATTTTTAAATGTATTATCTACGAGTTTTTAACCGTATTTTTAAATGCATCTTCAATCGTAATAATCCGCTCTATCTAACCATAGTATTCTGCGAGTTATTATCAAAACCTTTTGCAAGTTTCTATCAGCATTTTCTAACGCTGATATTTCGCTAGTTTTCAACCGTATAATTCGGCGAGTTTCAGCCATATTATTCTAAGAGTTTATGACCGTATTATACTGCTAGTTTCTAACCGTCTCACTTAGCGAGTTTTTCCTGATATTTTTTCTGAGCCAATAACCGTATTGCTATGCAAGTTTTTATTCGCATTATTTTGTGATTTTGCAACGATAATATTCAGTGTAAATGTTAACATTTTGTTTAGCTTTAAACAAAAATCTTCTCAAATAAGACGCGTAAAATTAAGAGATACACTGTAGTTCTTCAAGGAAAATGAACGCGCCGCGACGATTTTTTAAGCAATTCTCAGTCTTGCCGCAGAAATAAGGTATAATGAACTGTTACCAAGCGCTTGTAGCTATCTCACATTAGTGTTTTATTCAGCAGGTGAGTTTTTCATTTGTTCTAGGTCGTATTTGCTCTCGCGAACAGGGTGTAAATAACTTCCACTCCTTTTGCTACACAAGGCAGGTGAGAAATTTCTATGGCAAACAGTTGCGTATGTCAGACAGACCATTTAGAATATTGTAAATAAAAACGCAATCTATAAGAGAGACAATTCATGTGTCCACCACTAAAGTTTTCAAGCTACGAGTCCCAAGAACACGTATGTGGCCTTAGAAGCATGTAAAAAATTTGCTGACGGCGTTTCCGTGGTTCGATATATGCAAGATTATTATTTATTGTCACATCAGTGACAATAAGCGTACAGCGACATTTTTTTCAGCTTTTACAAAGAGAAAAATAATAAATATGATATTACGTATTCAAATAGTGCGCTTTTACTCTGTCAGCAACGCATGCACAGCAAATATGCCAGCTTCCAGGCAAGTGGAATACGCGATTTGAAGGTGGATTGGGTTACGGGAAATTGGAAAATCTGACCTTAAACGTGGAAATTTAAACATTCGCCCTGAACCTCTTGTTTACAGGAAACAAGTGATAGATTATAGTCTCATTAAAACAGGTCTCACGAAACAATATCTGAAGGCGTTTCAACTGCTGGCGATTGATTTGAAGGTTATCGCCTAGCATAATTTGGGACTATCAATTCGAAACATCAAAACCCACAAATTCGGTAGCTCTGTAAGGATGAACAGTTACAGAAGCTGGTCAGTTCCAGCCCGACGCCAAAAAAATATTTGGTTTACGCGCAGAAATGTCATTAATAATTTTTCTTGGAAACGCGTGAAAGTAATTGGGCTGGCGTATTAACGAATCCTCGGAGCCACAAACGCATGGCATCATTAAAAAAGCATACCGCATTGTCTGCACAATTATAACGTTTTTTTTTGCGCAGATTTAAATTGCACAGTTCTTATTGCTGTACCATTAGTGTCAATCGAGCTCAATTTTTGCGCAGGTTAAAAGCTTTTGTATCAGCTACAAATGTTATAATCGGGAATGGTGAGCGAGCTTTTACAATCATCAGAACTTATACTTTTGACGAATGACTTTTGGTTACTTTTACAACCTAGAGCTAAGATTGCGCAGGTGGAGAAAGAATATAAATTTTAAATTTTCTCAATGCCAATAGTTTTCGTAATCTTGTGTGAATATAAAATTGTATCCTTTTTGGTTTTCTTTGTACAATCCTCTTTGTATCCTCTTTTGGTTTTCAATTTAATGGAGTTTCGGTTTTAATTAAAAATTATATCTTCAAGAACATAGAAGAACATAAAAATTATATCTTCAAGAACATAGAAATGTATTTTCAAACTCGACAGGTAAAGTAATATATTTCATAATTCAGTTTAATAGTTCCCAATAAACAAAACCGCGATTTTTTTCTCTATACAGTAGGGAAATGTGAAAGAAGTCTTAGGGTGGATCAAAAACTCTTCTTCTCGTCTGAGGGGAGAGGGAAAGTTTCTCCGACAATCGCTATGGTACAAAGCCCAAAGATTATTTCGATAATTTTCCATCACTTAATGCAAACCGACAGAGACGCTTAAATCGCACAGCGCCATTATCTTGAATATCGTCACTATTTGAGTCAATTTATACTGAAACGTATATCTGCACATATCTTCTAAAATTTTTTCTTTGCAAGGCACAGCAGTAGCATTGTGAATAGGAAACTATTATTACCAAATCCGTTTGCATTTTTCGAGATGATATTTGTAGAATGTTTGCCACTATTGACCAGAGTGTAGTTTTGATTTGGGAAAAAAATTAATATTCGTCCAAGTTCTCTGAAATGATTTCCTGACAAACCACGATTCAAGAGACATTGCACAATTTTGCCGATAAATTTTATATCATAAAGTGCACTATGGCACGAAATGAAGCAAAGATTGCGTTCGTTGATTTCGGAAGAATTGTTCACGAAAATTAACTCGGCTCCTTAGATCGTCGTGTTATAAAGAGAATCATTACTACAATTACCGGTACGTCTACAATTTGTTTTAAGGTATTCATAGACTTGCGTTTCCACGTGATGTTCTGCGTATCTACTTGAATAGATAATTGCCACTTAGCGTGACATTATAGGCATGGAATTAATCTACTGATTAGATATTGAAGCTCGAAGATTTCCAATTTAAAATAGATTTAATAAAAGTATTATACAGAGCGTTTCTGAAACTGATTGCACGATTAAGAAGTGTTGGGTGGTCGAAACCTTTAAAATAAAAGAAACAGAGGTGCAGACTCTGGTCCTCCGTTATTGAAAAGTTTATTTATTTAATATTATTTATTGTGTTGAGTCTTGACTAAATATGAATGCAGAAGGTCCTATGCCTAATAAACTTTTTCATCACATCACTAAATTGGAAATAACTTCTACATTTAAACTACTGTAACTAAAATTTCGAATTCGTCAGTGCGGATATGGTACAAAAATTTTCCTAAATTCGAAAATATTTTCGTATCTTCGCTAAGAATATGAAGGATTTAACTGATTTGAGCACCAATTTCTGGTATTGAATCCAGGATTGAGAAAAGCCATACACCAAATAAACTCATTCATGACAATTTTAAAATGTATCTCCATCGTGAACGAAATGGCATTTCTATTTGATACAGAATCAGAATCACAATTCTCAAGTTTTTCAACCAAGTAAAAATTACGTCAAAAATACCCTACATCAAGCAAAGAAGATAAATTCTCTATTAATTTAGGGTACTCACCAGTGTCGGTTGTGAAAAGGATGCTCTTGGCCTCGGCCATGGAGCATGTGGGTTCATCACTATTCTCGCCCAGAACTCTGGACAGCAAGAGGTCTGTGATGCCATCTAATGTAGTGTCTTGTACGTCAAGTTGCAGCACAGCTGACTGAAGGAAGTGCGCGATGTCCAGACTTGCTCGAACCTCCGAGCCGAAGTCTTTCATAGGCACTTTCTGTAAAAACGAAGCCATAAGTTGTGGGTATTGCATATACTGATGCTGGGGCGTAGTAATACTAGACGAGACCTGGACATTGTTACTTGAGGGGCCCGACTCGGACGTATTGGGGGAAAAGGGGGGTATTTGGTTAGGCCCCTTCTCTAAAGCTGACGGCGACAACAGTGGGGTGACTGAGGAGATATTCTTTAATTTTCCACCTTCCGTAGGACACTGAGCTTCCGTGTTATAGTGAGAGGGAGCAGAACCTGAAGAGCTTGCAAGATGCTGCACAGATGTTTGGTGTGGCGAAGTCACTTCAATTGCACTTGGTGTAGTTGCGGCAGATGATATCTGCCAAGATCCATACAGCGTGGCATAAGGTAGGGTCAAGGAACATCGCCGTTTATCGACAGGTTGTACTGTAGGAGTGGGCTTCCTTCGAATGACTCCTGCAACCCTGGGTGGGGGTAGAAGTAAGCCCCCCGGAAGATCCCCCGTGCATGAGCTTCTCCTGTAATACAAAGGCACAGGTGGGGTGTATCTTGTGGCGCAGGCGGCACCCGCTTGTCCTGGCACGTACGACATGGAGTGAGATCTTTCCCCACTGCCATTCGTGCCTTCCTCTTCTTCGTAAACAGGAGGCCACCTCTGTCGTGTGTGAGAGTCTTTCGCTTCTTTACTTTTTACGAGACCTAGCATGGCAGCGAGAGAATGTTGTCGCGTTAGGTTTGGAGGTGGAATTCTCTTTGACCGGCTCGTGTATTTGCTAGGATATACAGACTCTAACGAAGGAGACATCGTTGCAATGTTGAACTTGCTCATGACGGAAGTAGAAGACACAGTAGATGACGTGGTCGATGGCGTAGATTTGGATTCGGCAATAGTTGAAATTGGCGACGTTGGCCGTCCTTCGGAATTGACCAAAGACGTTTTAGGTAGAAATGGTTCATCACCAGTATTTTGGGCGGAGTCATTGTTTCGGCCCAATTTTTCCGAAACGCTGTTTACCATTGTCGAGTCGACAGCCGAAACAGCAGATTGAATAGAATTTCTGTCACCAGAACTCGCAGCCTTCTTCCCCTTCATTGGAAGTGCCTTTAAAACATCGTGGGAGAGACCGGCTTTGGGGTTGTGATCTTTTTTCGGTTCGGGTTTTCTTCCTTTGGCAATTAGTACGTCAGTGGATACTTTTTTGTTTTCTTTCCTTTTCAGGACATGTTGTTTGGGTTTATTTCTTGTTCCAATGTTACTTTCATTGGAAACTTTAGAGCAGTCCGAGTCTTGATGACGATCTCCTGACTCGATCTGACTTTCAGTTTTGTGACTGGAGGTGATCGGTAACTTTGGTAAAGAATTAACCAATTTGGGTGAACTTGAAAGCTTTCCTGGTATACTATTTACTGCTATACTTGGACTAGCATCCCTACTGATGCTTTCTTTTGATTCATGGACAGTTGGATGAGCTCCAGCTGGTTTACTAGCAATTGATGTTGTTTTTGTTTGAATCGACGATGGAGCTAAAACACTGGATGCTGCTGCAGCCACTTTCACCGGAGAGGACTTTTGTGTCTGGCTGTGCATTTTCGGGGACGACTTATGAAAATTTGTCAATTGTTCAAAATTCTTTTCATATAGGGACAAAACATAAGTTCATTATTACCCTAGGCACACAATGATTCATTACTCATGAAAGTGAGAACAGAATTAGGCAGCCAATATTCGTACTCTAACTGGTAAGCAACATCACTCGTCTAAATTCTCTTATCATTTCAATGACAACAACCGGCATATTTTGAAATGCAATCAACTTGGCTAAGTTAGAGCAAAGAAAGTGTTTCGGAAAGATAATGTAAAATGAATACGCCGATACAAATGGAACATCCAACACCAGAATCTACGATCCGAGTGCTAATAGTAATTTAATTTAACACTTAGTCGTTTCAGAGGCACTTGAGGCTGTTGCATGAATTCTAGAAGAGAAGAAGAGGAAGTCGTTAGTTCAATATTCCTTCGTTAAGGGTTCAGTAGAAACAAAAAATTGCAAAAAATATTCCATCTCTCTTTTACAATAAATATAACTATTCCTCGTATTATTCATGAGAAAAAGTAGAGCTTGGCAAACATTACTGGCGACAAATTTTCAAGGTCCAGCGCATTCATGATTTATTACGTCCTAAATATTCCTGCTCTTTTGATTTCTTTTGTTCCACAAAATCAGATTCAACGCGACGCTCGAGCGGCCTTGCGAGGCATGAAAGACGGCCTAACCCACGCAGTGCGAGAGACTTTAGGGCGCCACGCGGCAATCCTAACGACCACACTGGACGAGAGCACGAGCAAGACTAAGGGCACTTCATGGGTCTCCCTCTGATGTCACCTTGCCTTATGCCCACGTTTAGACACTGCTTGCTCGTCTACAGAATTTTTAACCCAGAATCCATTACATTTTCTGTATCATGCACAGTCGAAGGAAGCATACCGGTCATAAGTTTGTCTCTTGGTCTCGTGCTGCCTCAGTGACGTCAGATATTGCACTGCCAAGTACGGAGGATTATTTTTTAAACGATTGCAATCGCAACAATGACATTTTTCAATTACGAGAGATTAGATGCCCTATTAATTGCGAATGCTGTCATGCTTGTTAAGTTGAATTACACGTTTGGGTTAAATGGTTATAGAACCTCTTGAATATTTACAGAGAACATAGATTTACCCTAGCTGCATCAGGAATCAATTCAATACATATACATTGACGGTAAAACCGAAGCTGTTCATTATTATTATTATTTGACAATTTTAGTATAAGGTTGTTCCCAGAAATTCATCTATGACATTGATTGATTTAAAGAACTGACTTGGATTTTATGAACTTTTGGAATGAGTTAATTTGGTTTTGTATCGAGTTTACACACTCGAAAAAAATCCAATCATTTTATATCAACTGCGTCGACAAGTTGTCGATTTCATCTTCCCAGCAGAGATTTGTTTGAAAATTCTGCTCATAATGAAAAAACCGAACGTGTGCGTATAAAAAGTCGAATAGTACGACTACTGGCCAAAGACTAAAAATTCACATCAATAAAATTTCAAAAAATTATCTTTTTCTATCCTCATTAAAACGTTCATCAAATTTACACACCACATTACACACAAACAAAAGAGTACACACAACAGTGTTGTGTGTAATTACATTTCACATAACATTACACACAACCCATTACACACGAACGGCAGAGCAGGACTAAAGCTGAATTTGATCTCGACAACTAAAAACTAAAGAGACAAAGTCTGGTCTCTGAATAATAAATTGTTGTGCCTTCGTATAGTTGTCTGAAACGTGACGTGTGATTGGTCCATATATATTTAATGGACTAATTACGTAGGTGCCTTTCACTTTCATCTGAACATTAGGACAGAGTGAGTGCATGAACAGGTGTTGGAACGGCAGGAATGTTGTGAGCGGCAACAGGAATTCCAGAAACTGTAGTCTAGGAATGCTTGTCATGCAGTAGCCGTTAATTGAAATTGAAGCGTGAAAAACACTCTTGGATGGCATTAAAATGCAGTTGTTCTGCAACGAGACGCTTCTGAATGCATCCTTTTATTTGTAGCTATAGGGGTACATATCTATTAGCGGTTGCTGCCTGGGTCATTTGTGCTGTCTGTGTTTAGCGCTGAAACGTGGCGACGGCAGTGGTAGAGACAATTTTTTTTGCTATAAAAAATTTCCATAATTTTTTCAAATTCTGGCAAAATTAATCCAAATATATTCAGGTTCATGAACAGAGTTTAATCGTTTAAGGTTCGGCAAATTTTCCACAGCAGCCATGAGAAATGAAATTAAGTGAAACAAGTTAAATTGAATGACAGGTAGAAGCTTTCTCGATAACATCGTGCTTCTTTACAGTTTTGCTTAGTCACCGTCGCCTAGACTTGTAGGATCTATGAGACATGACTGCACTTAAAAACACTAATGGGTACTATAGTCCAAATAGTGACTATTTTAACCATCAGTACTAGCAGAGAGAGGATTCGCCACTTAATTTGCCGGGCCAAAACGGGTTAGGATGACCCATACAAGTACATAAAGTGCGTCGCTATTTGGACAAATCTCGCTCATTTCTCTGAGTGTTCACTTGGGCAATCGAATTGCCAATAAGGAATAAGATCCCGGGTACATCATCCAGAGCACGAATCTTTTAAATCTCTTGGCGTTAAGACAGCTTAATGAGTTACTGTCTCAACATCGGCCGACTTGCAAATTTCATATTATCATTTCGGCTGGTTCTTCCGGTAAAATGGGCTTTGGAGGGTATGCCTTCAAACTGTTAGTGCATGAAGACAGAGACGAAGATAGTATTTGCCCCTCAAATTTAAATATATTTACTAGAGATTGCCGTCGTGGTTCTGAGGCAGTAAAAGGCAGGGTTGAGGACTCTGTATTAAAAGGCAAATCGAAAGTCATAACTTTTGAAAAGGAAGTTAAAAGACACCAAAATGGAAGTCGAGTAAAAACGTAGGTATGTTTTGAGAAATGATTAGTTCTTGTACAGTAATATTGTTGATATTGTAAAGCGAAATTGTTCAGAAATTATACGTTTTAATTAATTATTATTAATTAAACATTTTAATTTTAGGTTTTAACAACAAAATTCAACAAAAATTTGGCAAAAAAATAAGTTCGAATTCTATGTTATATGTGCTGGCTTGGACGATTCTTTCTAAAAACATTTTCTCAACTTGTTAACATTACTCTTGTTTTAAAAACTGCAATGAGATTTGTCGTAATTGAACTTGATAAACAGGATTCTGGATAAGGAGACTCTCAGATCTCAGATACTACCTTTCCTGGGAAACTACGAGGTTAGGCTTCTACATCTACTTATCTTTAAGATGCGAGATTAGAATGGTATAGATTATAATCTTCCGATAAACCAAGATAACAATTATATTACCAATATTATCTAATGCATAGTTCAAAGACCTAAATAAAAGAATGCTCGTGGAAAATCATTCTCTTATAGCTTTACAAGAAGTCACTGAACCGCATTATTGGGCCAGTTATTCAAAATGTAGCACATGAGGGCTTCAGTTCAGGAAGTCTCCTCTGCTGACTAGCGTGGCACTTGACGCTCGCGTCGCTGCCATCTCTTAATTAATGAACGCTGGCGCTGGCTACATTCAATGCAGCTGCTCTGATGTCTGTTAAGTGATGCTCCGATGAACACGTATAATGAGAGACTCCGATGAACACGTCTATTGAGAGAGACTCCGATAAACATGTCTATTGAGAGAGACTCCGGTGAACATGTCTATTGAGAGAGACTCCGATGAACACGTATAATGAGAGACTCCGATGAACACGTCTATTGAGAGAGACTCCGATGAACACGTCTATTGAGAGAGACTCCGATGAACACGTCTATTGAGAGACTCCGATGAACACGTCTATTGAGAGACTCCGATGAACACGTCTATTGAGAGAGACTCCGATGAACACGTCTAATGAGAGACTCCGATGAACACGTTTATTGAGAGAGACTCCGATGAACCCGTCTATTGAGAGAGACTCCGATGAACACGTCTAATGAGAGACTCCGATGAACACGTCTATTGAGAGAGACTCCGATGAACATGTCTATTGAGAGAGACTCCGATGAACACGTCTATTGAGAGAGACTCCGGTGAACACGTCTATTGAGAGAGACTCCGATGAACACGTCCATTGAGAGAGACTCCGGTGAACACGTCTATTGAGAGAGACTCCGATGAACACGTCTATTGAGAGAGACTCCGATGAACACGTCTAATGAGAGACTCCGATGAATATGTATAATGAGAGAGACTCCGATGAACATGTATAATGAGAGACTCCGATGAACATCTATAATGAGAGAAACTCCGATGAACAAGTCGAATGAGCGAGACTCTGATGAACACGTCTAATGAGTGAGGTTTCGACGAACATGTCTAATGAATGAAGTTCCGATGAACACGTTCAATGAATGACACTCCCATGAACATATCTTAAGGCTTGTAGTCAAAATGCAGCGAAGTCTGAGAGGGAGGTTTTCGCGACCATCGTGTAAAATCCTTGATCTGCCCAAAGCTCAGGTCACCGAGACTTGAAAAGGACAAAAATTTAGTTGAGAGTGTTCAAAGACGTGCAACAAGGATAATCCCAGGATTAAAGGGCAAGTCTTATGAAGAAAGATTGAAGATTATGAAGCTTCCCAGTCTCCGTTATCGTCGCCTGCGTGGGGACCTCATTGAAGTAATTTAATGCCGAAGATGCTATACTATACTAAAGCCCGGCCAGCCGCTGCCCTCGAGCTTGTACTCTTTGTAATATGATATCCTAGCCAGACTCTTCTTCGCGGCAACTGGTCGCTTTCAGGTGGCCAAGGAATGGCCAACGGTCGGCAATAACTAATTGGATAGGCCGACCACTGGCCACGTATTATTCTTCGCCCCTCATTGACTTCGCCTTTACCATGCCACCCGTTGTGAACTGACAGTTGAGTAATTTACGACGTCTCATTCCCCTCAAACATTGCACAACGTCTCCATTTGAGCAGCTA